CTATGAAGAAACTCTTGAGGAGGAGAAGGGGAGGTTTTTGTGTTGATGGTGATCTTGAAGACCTTGTTGTTGAACTTGAGCACTAAGCATTCATAGATCACAAACTCTGGGGTGCGAAAAACTTTGGCTCTCAAAACACCCAAGGATGAGCCAGCCGTCTTGAACCAGTCGATTTCAATAAGCTTGTCGCACTCTTGTAGAATCCTTTCAAAGACAGGCTTAGACCAAGTCTGAATAGGTATGCCCTCGATTTGATGCCAAACAGAAGAGGACTGAATAAGTGGAAGGTTCACCTTAGAGTTCCACCATTCTAGAGACAGAAGAGAAGCATTCATCCTCCAAAAGTGCTGCCTCGTGACTCTGCCCACATCCTCTTAAGAGCCAAAGAGTATAAGGAGTCTATTTCCAAGAATAGACCAACTCACGACCTTGCTTGAAGCCCTCATGGCCCAATCTTCAAAGAGACTCTCATTTGAAATGGAAGGGGGGGGCAAAAGGATCCCACAATGGTGAACTATAACTTGGAGGCCCAAAGAACTGAGGCCTGAGGATCAATGGAAATAAACTTTGGCTTGTTTGCTTTACCAGTCTCCACTGCCTCCTCACCCTTCTCTTAGTTGCTACCTACCACGCCGACATGAATAATAGAGTAGCTCCATACTCTACATCCATAACCAGAGAGCGAGTTACCTCCATAGCTCCACAATCCGTTAACCTAAAACCTCATCTCTCTCACAAGCATATAACATTGTTTGTATTTGGCTTTCACACAAAGGTGACAATCACACATAGCATTTATATATAAATTAAGTGATAAGAGTAAAAGAAAAATAAAAAATAAAAAATACCAATTAGATTCTTGCGATTCTGTCTTTCAATTATTATTTTTTCAAATTTTGAGAAAGGGGCTGAAGTTGTAATGGTAATACCCCCACACCCTAGTCAATATGTTGTGATTTCCATTCCCATTGACACCACTCCATTAACACTAGAAAAACTGGCTCCTAAATTATTTGAGAACATAGTTAGGGGTTGTCTTTCCTGCTGAAAATTACCCTTTTTTTTTTTCCACTCACACTCCTAGCGACCTATATTATATAGTTGGTCGGCTAAGAGCGATTTTACTGTTTTGTACCATAGGTAAATAGGTAACGGATTTTACAGTGAACAATCCCACTTTGATTTTATATTTCATGCGCTAGAAGTGATTGACATGTTCATATCACAAATAAATGATTTTACACTGGCAGTATAAAATCCCAAATATAAATAGGAGTAAGTGGCCCAAATATTTTAGACGAGCTCTTGATTACAAATAAGAAATTTTAAAATAAAAAGGCACCCGTCTCTCTCTCTCTCTC